AAAGCATATATAGGAAGTGGATACAGAGAATATATGGGATATAGGAGAGAGGAAAAGGGGATAGGATAGGGAGAGGGGATATAAAGCAAGGGGATATAAGGGAGAGGAAAATGGAATAAAGGAAAACGGGATAGGGGTGATTAATAATGTAAAGAGAAAAAGGATAGGGATAGCAGACAAAGCATATATAGGAAGTGGATACAGAGAATATATGGGATATAGGAGAGAGAAAGGAGATAGGATAGGGAGAGGGGATATAAAGGAAGGGGATATAAGGGAGAGGAAAACGGGATAGAGGAAAACAGGACAGAGGAAAGGGGGTAGGGGTGATTAATAATGTAAAGGGGGAAAGGATAGAGATGGCAGATAAAGGATATAGGGGAAGTGGCTATAGAGAATATAGGGGACAGAGGAGAGAGGAAAAAGGGACAGGGAAAGGTATGATATAGCAAACATAGAGGATACAAGAGAGAGGGACAGGGCATAGGGGAAGGGGGAAAGGATAGGGGAGAATTATACGGAAAGGAATAGGGGAAGTAGATGAGTAAAGTTAAGGACAGAGGGGCAGGGGTGAGAGGACAGGGATGAGGTTACGGAGACCAGGACAGGGGAAGAGCCAGGGCTGGGGGAAGGTGCGGTGCCCGCCCCGCTGCCCCGGCCTCACCTGCGCCGCCGGCTCTGCAGCCGCCACAGCGCCGCGGCCGGGCCCGCGCGGGCCCTCAGCGCCGACGCCATCTTGGGGGCGGAGGGAGCGCCGCGCGTCCTCCTCTCCTCCCCTCCTCCTCCTCTTCTCCTCCTCCTTTCCTCCTCCCGCTGCTGCCCCTGTCCCTGCCCCTCCTCCCGCTGCCCCTCCTGCTGCGCTCGGCCGGGCAAGGTGCGGCCGCTCGGTCGCGGGCAGCCCGGGGGCGGTGACGGCCCCCCTGCCGCCGCGGGCCCCGCCGGGCTCACCGCCCCGCTCGGGCCCTGAGGGCGGCGCGGCCTCCCCTTGCCCCGGTGCTGCTGGCGCTGCAATAACGCCTTCCTTTCCCCTCTGCCGACTGCAAGGAGCTGATGATGGCGTTGGGGACGCTCGTGAGGAAGCCGCCGCTGCCGCCGGGCGGTTGTAGAGCCTTCTGGGGATGGCTGAATGCCGTGTTCAACAAGTAAGAGTGAGTCGCTGGTTAATAATTAACTTTCAGATGCCTCAAATTCTCTGCGCTGTTTGTGAAGCGGAACAATCAAGTCCCTACGCCGCAGACAAGGTTTTCTGCCATTAATGCTCCTCTTTCTCCCCAGATTGCACGTTGGGTGTTGACAAGGGGTCATTCCATATCTGCTTCCCCTTCCAAAGCCGTGACCTTCCAGAGGGAGGTGTGGAAGGTGGAATGGCCAAGACGAGCTGGCCACATGGATCCCATTCCTCGATCCTGCTCTTCTTTGACCCCAAAACTCAACCAGTAGCACAGTTTTCTTTCCCTACAAGACATGGAAGGAAACAGAATTAAGTCCAGTTGTGTTTGTATTGTTTTTTTTTACTAAAAAGCGTCTGCCCCTTAAGTTAAAAAACCTCAGGACAGGCTGAGAACCGCACGACCCAAAAGCGACCCATAACCCATTCCTAGTAAATCCCGTCCCTACTCCCCTGACCGTGCACAAAAGACAGAACGCCTTTTAACCGCGGGCGGGATGGCTGTGGGTGCTCTCTGTGTCCCGCAGGGTGGACCACGAGCGCATCCGGGCCGTGGGGCCGGACCGGGCGGCCTCGGAGTGGCTGCTGCGCTGCGGGGCCCTGGTCCGGTACCAGGGCTCGCCCAAGTGGCAGCAGGACTACAACGGGCTCCCCACGGGGCCCCTGGGCCGGTACAAGATCGAGGCCATCAACGCCACCGACTCCTGCATCATGTACAGAGGCTTTGACTATCTGGGTAATGTACCCGCGTGGTTGTTCTCGATGGGTTTCTTTTTAGCTGCATCAAAATAGGGATGATGCTGTCATACTGATAAATAATTTGTGGGGTTTTTCCCCCTTTGCAAATATGTATCAGTCCCCAGGGTTTTGCTGGAGGTGTGGTGTAAAGTGCAAAGACATTGGGAATTTCAGCTTTTACCCAAAGTGGCCGTAGCACTAAGGAGGTGCCACAAATTTGTATGTGTTCGTAGCAAAAAGCACTATAAATATTATTTTTCTTCTGCACCAAGGGATGATTTTGGTGTCTCTGAAGTTGTAATTCTGCTCGTTCTCCAGGCATTTATGATGTCTTTTGTCTTTATTTGTCTAAAGACAAATAAAAAGCATTCTCTTAAAACTAAGAGATTAAACAAATGTTTCAGGTGGTCTTTAAATACCAGAAAACAAAATGGGAACAGGCTGTATTATTTATTTCATAGCAAGGGACCCTGAATGTCTGACCGTAGCACTTTTTTATGTCAGAGTCATTGTTCATTACCCAAAATGGTGTGGGTTTTTTGTTACTTGCCCATTTCAAAGCTCTTGCAATCTTACCAAAACAATTCAAACCCCGAGGTTTTCCTAAACCTGAAGTACCACAGAGGGTTTTGGAGATTCACTGTGTGTTACAGCCCCACTTCACAAAGGAATGTGTTGCTGGGTGGTGTTAGGGCAGTTGTTAAACTGAGCATTTAGCCTGGGACTGGGAGCAGATCCTCACTTGTGCCCGTGCAGATGGCCTGGAGCACGTGACGGACATCAGGCTGGAGAAGTGCATGTACATCCAGGACCAGTGTCTGCAGAGGCTCGGCGACACCAGCAACCTGCAGAAGAGCTTGCAGCAGCTGAAGATCATTTCCTGTGGGAACGTCACAGACAAAGGCATCCTTGCACTCCACAAGCTGACGTACGTGAGGCACTGGGTGCTTCCACAGCTCCCAGCTCTGGGACTGGGATTGTGCTGCACTCTGGCTGTGTCAGGGCTGTGGGGTGCTGGGGTGGGCTTGAGGACAATTAATTCATGATCAGCTTGGTGCTGCTCCTGAGCCTCTCCTGCAGCAGCTCTGTTTGACACTGAGCTGTGTCCTGCAGCTTTCAGTGCTTCTCCACCTCACAGCTTCCTGTCACACCTCTCGTGCCCCAGGATCTGGGACAGACCTGGGTGCTCAGGAACAGGATTGCAGTTGGATACTGCAGCTAAAAACCCCAAACACCCACTTCAGGAACTACCACTTAAAATACCAAAAATTCCAGTCACCATTTGAAATACTCAAAACAACTGCAGTAGAATAATTTCCCCAATTTCTCTGTCAGCAATTGAATAGTAGTTGCCCGTTTTCTTTTTGAATATTTACAGGAACCTGGAATATTTGTATCTGAGTGACCTTCCTGGGATCAAAGAAAAAGAAAAAACCTTCCGTGTCCTTCAGCAGGCACTGCCCAACCTGGAGCTGGAGCTGGATTTGGAATAAACACAGCAGCACATAACTGAGATATATGTGATTTCCTAGGATTTATTTTATGTTGCATAGATGAAGTTTATGCAGTATGAAGTTTATGAAGTAGACACCACTGTACTTGCAGTAAGCCCAGCTCTCCCAGTCCAGCCTCAAAGGTGTGTGTGACCTTTGAAGAAATCACGCAATTCATTTTTATTAAGCTTAAACTCGGTGGTGGATCAACAACAGACAGGGCAGGCCTCTGCACGTAGGCATCTGTTTCCTGTTTTTCTAGGAAGCTCTGAATACCTCAGTCAGAAGTTTTCAGTATTTTATTGCACAGAAGCAGAGTGGCAGTGGGGGGAATGTTGGTGTGTGTGGTTGGTGCCTGGTGTTGGTGCTGTTCCCTCTGGGAGAATCTCACTCAGTAGGTGGGTGCTGATTAATAAAAGAGGTTCTGGGTCTTTTTGTGTTCTTCACACTTGGAGTTTTGTCTGGTTGAATGATTTCAGGCAGGCAGGGTCAGCCCCTCAGGAGCACTGAGCTGCTGAAGGGATGTGGCTCTTTGAGCAGGAGCAGCAGCTCTGGGACAGCCTTGAGCACGTTTTTGCTGTGCTGATGGACTGCAGCAGTTCTGTGCAGCCCTGCAGTTGCATCTCATCTCTCCTGATAAATAAGAGTCATTGGGAATTGCTGAGGTTGGAAAAGTCCTCTGAGATCATGGGAGTCCAGGTGTTCCCCCAGCACTGCCAAGGTCATCAGTGACCCCTGTCCCCAAGTGCCACATCCAGGAGGCTTTTAAATCCCTGCAGAGATGGTGAGTCCAGGAGTCCAGTGACCCCAAGTGTGTCCCCAGGTGCCACATCCAGGAGGCTTTTAAATCCCTGCAGAGATGGTGAGTCCAGGAGTGTCCTGGGCAGCTCTGCCAGGGCTGGACAAACCTTTCCATGAAAATATTTTCCCTAATATCCAGCCTAAACCTCTCCTGGCCCAGCCTGAGGCCGTTCCCTCTGCTCCTGTCCCTGTTCCCTGGAGCACAGCCCGACCCCCCGGCTGTGCCCTCCTGGCAGGAGCTGTGCAGAGCCACAAGGGCCCCCCTGAGCCTCCTTTGCTCCAGGCTCAGCCCCTTCCCAGCTCCCTCAGGAATTCTCCAGCCCCTTCCCAGCTCCCTCAGGAATTCTCCAGCCCTTCCCAGCTCCCTCAGGAATTCTCCAGCCCCTTCCCAGCTCTGTGCCCTTCCCTGGACCCAGTCCAGCCCCTCAATGCCTTTGTTGTGAGACTCAGAACTGCCCCAGGATTGGCGGTGAAGCCTCACCGGTGCCAGCACGGTGGGAACAGCTCATCCTCAGGGACAGCACAGCATTTTCACCCAAATCCTGGGTGCTGGGCTAGGGAAGGGCAGAAGGCAGCAACTCCAAGCAGTCAGATGCATGGTGCTGTCTCAGAGATGGTTTTCCATGTGCAAGGAAACAGAAGGCCAAAAGGCACACACAGGACATAGCATCTGTCCCACTGAAAGGGCTTTTACTGCTGTGGAACACAAAAGGTATTGACAAAACATCTTTGCTCTAAGTGTCAGTAAAAAGAGGATGTTCTTGCCCATAGTAAAGTTTTATATAGCAAAACACCTCCAGTAAATTGGAAAAAAAAAGCTACATTTCTTTTATTCAAAATCATTACTGTATAATATTCTGAGATTCCATAAACCCCAGTCGTTCTAATACAAACACTTAGGTAGAATTCCTGCCTGTGTCTGGCCATTGTTATAAATTATATTCATGATTAGTTTTTAATTTTTGTAACTACAAGTGAGTGCCCTCACTCTTGTCAGAAGCAGAATTCAAGGATGAAACTTGCAGGAGAAGCTCTGGAAAGACTAAAGAAACAGCAGGGATGTTGCTCTGCTCTCCTGGTGCCTGTGGAGCCCGGGGCAGCTCTGGAGCTGAGCCCTCCCAGCCTGGGCTGCAGCACAGTCTGCCAGCCCTTCACAGCAGGGGCTCAGCCCAGCCTAAAGCAGGAGGGACCCGTCTATGTGGCAAGGTGGAGTTCTCCTGCCAATCTGAAATGCAGGGACAGAGTTTTAAATTTCATACTGTGAGCACTGGGTTGGGGTAATCCTGAACCAGGAGGCAGTCAGGAATTAAAGCAGAATGCATTTGCCTGTGTACACAGAACACTAAGATGAGCTTGGAGTTCTTTCTGCATCACTTCCTCTCCAACAGTGACCCAGAGTAGAGGACAGATCACTCTGTGCATGCCATAACTTTTAGTAATTGAGTTTTCCACTGTGTATCCTCCATCTATAGATCCTGGATGACTCTGAAGAACTGAATTTTCATCTGCCACCTGGTCAGATGTTTGGGAAGTGGTACTTTGATTTCCTTGTTTTGCAGCAGTTCTTCTTGCTGTCCAAAGCTGGGAGAACTTTGCTGCAGGTCAGCTGAGGCAGGTGCTGTAACTAAAGGAAAAGTTACACCATGTGTACTTGTTTGGAATGGGAATAAAGCACACGTGGAATCAATTTTCACATGGAATATGAGCTATAAAACTATTCCTACTGTAATCTTCTACTTTCCAAGCTAAGATGCTGGGGTTTTATGACTGGACTCATTAAAAAATTCCATTAGGCAAGAAAAATATCCAAGATCATAGAAATGGAAGAGGCCAATCAGTCTGACCTAGAATTGACACCCTGTAGCAGTTCTCCATCCCTCACCTCCAATTTCCCTACTTGTTCCCAGCTCAGCCTTAGAGCTGCCATGGGGAATACAGAACTGTGGAATGAGTTGCATTGTGAGGCTGGATTTGGGGACTTGGGATGGCATCTGGAAAAGCCAGAGCAGCAGGGAGACATTTGCTTGGCAGCTCCAGCTGCAGAAACACCCAGTGTGTGGGGTAACGTGGAACTGTTACAAACAGAAGTGGTGGTTATTCCATCTCCACAATTCAGGATTAAAAAGCACCAGAGTACTCAAAATTGAACCAGCCATGTGAGTGTGTCCAGTTTGTCCAGCCCTCCTGCTGCTCTTTGTCAGGAATGCCCTTTCCTGGATGAACCCTACCGTGCCAGGGCTGAGCTGTTTATCCCCAGCGCCCCATGGAGCCGCAGTGCAAAATCCAGTTTGTACGGAGTTACTCTTTAGCCAGGGGGCTGTTTTCTCCTCAGGACAGAACCAAGAGCAGCCCAACACCCTCACCTGCCAGCACAGCCCACCCTGGGAGCCAGCAGAACAGCCCCTCCTGAGGGTGGAATACTAAACACATGGAAAGCTTACCCCTGGCATGTGCTTCCGAGGCAGCCTGGCTGGCCTGCGAGCGCCCTTCTCGTCTTCTCTGCCCAGCTCTGCTGCCTCCCTGAAGCTGTCAAAATAGGGGTGCTGCAGCAGCTGCTCACAGCTCTGCCTCTCTGCAGGGTCCATCCGAAGGCAGCCCTTCCAAAAGATGGAGGATCACTCAAACACTCCTTACACAGCCCTGCACAATTCCAGCTGCTCCCCACAGCCAACGAGTATTCCCACAGGTACACGTTAGTAATTTTTTAATGGATTCTAAGAATGGCTTTTCAGAGTCAGCATGAAGCTTGAGGAGCAGCTAATTATCCAGCAATGACAAGAATTAATCATGGAATGGTTTGGGTTGGAAGGGTCCTTAAAGATTATCTTGTTCCAACCCCTTAACCTGGGTAGGGACACCTTCCCCTGTCCCAGGCTGCTCCAAGCCCTGTTCAGCCTCGCCTTGGACACTTCCAGGGATGGAGAATCCACAACTGTAGTAGGAATTGTGGCTTAAGGAACAGCTGCAATCCCATGGAGCAGCAAACCAGGTCTGTTTTTCAGTGAATCTCTGATAACTCAGTCCCAGACTCTCACACCAGATGATTTGTTTATCCCAGTGCTGGGTTCCTCCACAACCTGGAGTTTCCTCACCTTCATGAGAGCCAGTGCAGAGTATGAAACATTGGGGAATTTCACTTCCAATGGCTCCTGCAGGGAAAAAAACAGTGAATGCACTCATATTAGCAAACTTTTCATTCATCAGGGTACCAAAACCCAGCTTTCCACAGGAACACGACCTGTTCCTCACAAAATGCCTCCATCACTCCATGTGCTCAGAGGCCTGGCAGCACTGAGGATGTGCCACAGAAATAGGGCAGAGCAGCAGAGATTAAACATTTCTGGACTGCTTTTACACAGGCTGTAAGTTAAAATGTCATGAGAGGTTCAGCCACCTCCAAATAATATTCTGGTGCACACTGGCAAAGCAGAGGACAAAGCTTCTGGACAGGGACAAAACACTGCACAGCAAAGGACAGGGAAGGGAGGGAAGTGCAGCTGGAGGCAGCTCTTACCATGCTCTCTGGGTCTGGAATTCTTACCCCACTGAAGAACTGGTTGGTGCTGAACACTTGCTGGTGCCTGGGAATGAGATCCCCTTTGACCAAGAATTTAAAAAAGAAAAAAGAAAAAGGAGTAATTTACATAATTTTACAGTGCCTGCATTGAACATGGCTGTATCCTCTAACAAGGCTGATGCCATCCAAGACAGCATCTGAAGAGGTGGAATACCACCAAGTGAGCCAAGGCAATGTTCTTTTGTGACAATTAATGTCATCAGTGAGCCCACACCCACATGACTGTGCTGAAGGAAAGGCAGGGCCACAAGTGTTCCAGCTTCAGGAGAATTTAACTCCTTTTGGGTGAAATTCTCTTTGGACACTCCTGAGGGTGCTGTACAGGACAGAGCTGGAACACAGCCCCACCTGAACCTGCTGCAGCTTTTCCCCAAGCCAGAGTTTTTGAAGCTCAGAGCACCCCAGAGCGAGGAAAATGTTAAAATCAAATCCATAGCAAAGGAGCCAGTACAATGCCAAGCCCATAATGGCACAGCTTCAATCAAGGAGCTTTGCTTTGTGAGCACTGCCTCACTCCAGCACCTGGATCCAACAATCAATGGGAATCTCCTCTGGCTGAAACCCTGCAATTAAAAATAAATTATATCTGCCTAACACTGGCATTAATGAATTCTGGAGGATCAAGCAATCAGTGATGAACTATTTTTCTATCTGTTTAAAGCCATTAGTCACCTTTGTAGTTTTATAAACTGCTCAGTTAAAATTACAACTCTCTATTCATTCCAACAAAATTCAGTGAAAAGTGGGGGGTTGTTCGTTGTCACCCAAGAAATCAGATGTTACACACCAAAACTGAAAAGAATCAATGGGACTGGATTATTTTAAGTGTTATGGGGGATAATGGCTCTTTTATTTAACAAACAAATACGGAGTGGCTCCTAAATTAATTGATGAACAACGAGAAACACGAGGAACAGACAAGCTGTGAAGTCCACACTCCCCTTCCCAGGCACACAGCCATTAACAGGCTCTGACAACACTTCTGAGACCTCCAAAGCTGGGATGAATTGAATCCAGCTGTTCACAGACCACTGTGTTTGATACCAAACTCTGAAAACCACCTGGATCTTGTAAACCTTTATGCAAAACTTCCCTGGTCCTTTCTGATACAGGCACCTCATGTTTTTGCCCATGTGGAGACAGCTGAAGTTGCTGTGCTCCCCCACCCCAGCAGGGGTGGCATCCAGTGGTCACCAAACACATCCCACATCTTTCCTAATCTGCCCTGCACCAGACCCAGCTTCCCAGAGGGCGAGGAGAGTGGAGGGATGGTTCCAGGCAGTCTGCAGGCAGTGATCCCGATTCTCAAGCCTGTTAGCACATGCACACAATGCCAGGAACACCCAGCTCCCTCTTAAGGACATGAGCCCCTCAAATAAAGCAGCACCTTCTGAAGGGAGAGATCCGCTGGGTGAATTCCCCCCTGGCCACTCCCCATTCCAGCACAGAGGGGTCGCTCCCGGGCAAGCCCCAGCGGGGGCTGTGTGTGCCGGGGACACTCACCCAGGGTCCTGCGGATCAGGTACAGCTGGTCCGCGTCCGACCTGCCCGGCCACAGGGGCAGCCCCGAGAGCAGCTCGGCGAACACGCAGCCGATGGCCCACACGTCCACGGCGGGGCCGTACTGGGTGTCCCCCACCAGCAGCTCCGGGCAGCGGTACCACCTGGTGGCCACGTAGTCCGTGTAGTAGTCACTGGGACCAGCTGGCTCGGGAGAGACACCAACACAGGAAGGCGGGATCAGAGCCACGCAGAGGAGCCATGGTCACTTGGTACATTTTGGGGCACCTCCTGGGCAGGCCAGAGCTGCAGGAGTCACTGGGTGAGTCACGGGCCACCAGCAGAACCCAGCTTTGGAAACACTGAGGATCTGGTAAAAATCAAGACCGTGTTTTCCTCCAAATGAAAATATGCAGAGCTTCACAGCAGGGCCCTGCAGCAACCAGTGGGCAGTTCTCAGAACCCATGTGATTTGTCTGAAGAGGAGCTAAAAACCCCCAGATTATTAGGGGGTTTATTTACAACGGAAAAATGTGAAGCCATTGTTTGCAGAGGCAGCCAGAGGGGCTTTTCCTGCCAGGGAGCTCCAGCTGTGTCTCCAGCCCTGCACAAACAGCGGCTGGGCAGCCTGGAGACGCCCAAGGCCGACTCCCATCTCCCCCAGCAGGGAGCTCAGTTTGTTTACAGATGTCACCGCGGTGTCTGGGCTCCCTCCCTGCACGGTTCAGGAATCTCTACCCAGCCTTCAGCAGAGCTTCCCTGGGAAAGCACACAGCTACCATACAGGAGGATCTGCAGTGCATCAGACACAGACAAGTGAGGGTTGGCATGGCTCATCCCACACTGCCAGCACATAAAGAGGGTAGGTGAGTTCAGCACTCACTCAGTATGCGAGCAAATCCGAAGTCACAGAGCTTGATGACCGAGTGCTTTGTTATCAGGATGTTCTCTGGCTTCACATCCCGGTGGATGCACTGGAAGAAGAAGCAAGGTTAGAAGTGTTTAACCTGGCCCTCAGATAAATTCAGCCACAGCCCACTGTGCCAGGCAGTTCTTCCTGCTGAGAGGGAAGCTGGAATGATTTCTGGGCAGCAGGACAATGACCTGTCCGTAGCCCACCCTTGGGGAGAGGCACTGCAGGCTCCCAGCTCTGTATCCCCCGGGCAGCACGGAGGCAGCTCCCTGAACACCCTGGGAAGCTCCAAATGCCAAATGGTTTTGCTGCCAAAGCTCAGCAAGAGCTCTGCCCACCACAGGTGAGACACATCCAGAGCTGTGTCCAGCTTGGGACCCTCCAGAGAGGGAAGACGTGGCTCCAGTGCCACTGGAATTTACAGGACTGGGGTGTCTGACATCCAAGGAGAGGATGAGGGAGCTGGGACCACCAAGGAAAGGCTCCGGGTGAAACTCTTCAATGTGCATGAAACACCTGATGGGAAGGAGTAAAGGAGACTGAGCCAGGCTGTTCTTGGTGGTGCACTGAAAGGACACAGACCATGGGCACAAACTGAACACCCATTTAAATTCCATTTAAACCTGACCAATCTATTTTATCTTTTTTACTGATGGCACAGCCAGATACCCAAACAGGTTGTCCAGAGAGTCTGTGGAGACTCCAGCCTTGGAGATACTGAGATCCTGACTGGAAAAGTTTCTGAACAGCCTGTTCCAGCTGAGCCAGACTGACTGGAAGGGTTAGATTAGATCTCCAGAGCCCCCTTCCAATATCAGCAATTCTGTGATTCTTTAGAGGTGACCTTGTCCTTCACAACTGAATTTAGGCTTGGCAAAGAATTTCTGCTGATCCAACTAACCTTTATTTCTTTTGTTCTACTCAACTCACTGGGGTCTCACTCACGTTGTCCCTCTCCCATCATCACCTCAGAGCAAACACCTTGGACTTTCCTTGCCAAGCTGGTGGTAAATTATTGTGTCTCCTCCTGAGGACTGAAATGTTGCTTATTAAACCACAAAAAGGGCAGCTACATAAAACCTCATTACCTGTGATCTACAGCAGCTCAGGCTGCAGCATCTCATTGTTCCCTCTGCTCTCAAACTCCACTAAATCTTCCAGACTGAGCAGGGGAACAGAAAAAAGACTCAAACCAACAAATCTTGGAAGCAGGAGAGACCTGTGGCCAAGTTCCTGTGGCTCAGCTGGACGTAATTCTCTCAGCAAAGACAAAACACCCATTCCAGAGCCTGCTTATTAAACCACTGTCACAGAGCTCCAAAAAGGGCAGCTGCATAAAACCTCATTACCTGTGACCTACAGCAGCTCAGGCTGCAGCATCTCATTGTTCCCTCTGCTCTCAAACTCCACTAAATCTTCCAGACTGAGCAGGGGAACAGAAAAAAGACTCAAACCAACAAATCTTGGAAGCAGGAGAGACCTGTGGCCAAGTTCCTGTGGCTCAACTGGATGTAACTCTCTCAGCAAAGACAAAACACCCATTCCAGAGCCATCTCCTGCCCACTCTTAAATCTCAAATGTTGGCAGATGAACAAAAATAAAGACAATTAGAGCTAAGTTTGGCTAAAGATCTTCTCCAAAAGGCTCCTTCTCCTTCCCTGCTTCTTAAAATGTTCCCACTGACGTGTCTGACATGCACAGAGCTCGTGTCTCCCACCAGTGAGCAGAGGAGGGAGTAAAAAGGGTTTACTCTGTCTAAGTTTTGAATCTTTTCACTGGTGCCATAATTCAACCCCGTGCCAGTCAAGTGAAGGACTTTCTGTGAAATCAGCAGCAGTTTGCTCAGGTCCCAGCTGATGAGCTGGTAGGGCAGGTTCCTGAAGGGCAGCAGTAGTGCAGGGCCCAGGGAATCACACAAGGATCATCCCCACTCCCCTGGAGGCTTGTCTAAGGTCATTAGAGCAAATCATTCCCTGACAGCCAAGCCAAGGGGCCTGTGTGACAGCTGGTGTGGGTATACACCAATATTTCAGATGTGTTTCCTGTTCAAAACAGGAGATTCCACCTGACTCCATCCCATGAAAGCTCTGGAATCAGGAAAATGCCAGCAGAACCCCCCTCTCTGCTCCAAGGCCACGTTCCAGCAATCATTGGTGCAGCTCAGGGGACTCACATTGTGTTTATGGCAGAAGTTCACAGCCTGCAGGGTCTGCCAGGTTATGCTCTTCACCAGGTACTCTGGCACCCTGTTGGAAAAAAACCCACAGTTTTATTTTGGCCATTAATAATGAATTCACTATTTCAGGGGAAATGAGTGCTGACATTGCACAGGGATCTCTGAGCAAAACCATCAGGGAAGTCAGGAAACACCTCCAAAGCCAGTCAGTGCAACCAGGATTTATGTCTGGCACCACTGTCACAGCCAGCACGGGCTGCCACTGTGACACACAGCAAAGTGAGCCCATCTCAGGCCCTGTCCTGGGATTGCTGGCAGTCCTGAAGTGCCAGCAGGAATTTCTGCCTCAGCACCTCTCAGGCTGGAACTGCTGGAGTATCCATGGTACAGATACATGGAATGCTGCCATGGCAGAGTGGAGAGGTGAAAAATGGGCCAGGGAAGGGTGCTCAGACCAGAGTACACAGCTCTGCTGTGGTTTGGATCCCCTCCTTCCCTCCCACAGCCAGCAAACACTTCCCAGCCCCCTCTCCTTTCTTTCAGTTACTGGGCAACAGTTCTTGAACTTCCTTGGCTGTCTGTAATGATCTTCAACAACCCCAGGAAAGGCAGAAGTGACAATCTTGGCATTTTCCAACTCAAGCACACTTTTATTTCACATGTTCAGTGCTGAAAAGCTTCTGATTCATAATAAAGAAAAAAACTACCCAAAACTAAATCAAAACAATGCAAGCCTGAGTTTTTCTTTCGAGCTTGGCTCTCACTTTGTGCTCTCAGTGGGTCAGTGACACTGTGCTGACACTGTGAGTAGAGATTCCTTCCAGAAACATCCCAAAATGATGGGAGTGCTGCTGTGACAGCTTGAAAAGGGGATGGAGTTGGTCAAATGAGCTGGAAGCAGCACGTGCCCACCCATCTTAACCTGACCACGAATGACTTGACCACCAGCCAGATGTTACATGTTCCTTGACACTGGAGTTGCTCTGATGAACAGTCAGCAATTGGGAAGCACTTCCTTCAGGAGAGTTATCCATCCCCTCTTCAGATTCCAGGGAAAAGGTTCAAAGGCTGCTGGGCAGCTCACGAAGCTGTCAGCTTTGTCACATGCTCCTTTCTCCCCGGTGTTCCTCACCGAGGAGAAAGGGAGTGAATAACAAGCTCTTGTTTACTCAACCCCCCGTGCTGCAGGCAAATTCACAGCCCCAGGCCTGTGGAACGATTCATGGCCTTGTGCTTAGCATTTCCCAGCACCAAGGCACCTGGATAATTAGGGACAATGGAGTGGCGTTTGCAAGGTGTGGACAGAACAAGCCCCGTGCGGAGCTACACTTGGCGCAAGCACCAGTTTGAAGAGGAGTTCTGCAGAGAGGTGCAGGCACAGCTCTTAGGAATTACTCCTCACTCAAAGCGTTCAAAAGTGTGCATGTGGCACCTGGGGACAATTGTTTAGTGGTGAACATGGCAGTGCTGCATTAACAGCTGGACTCGATGGTCCAGGAAGCTTTTCCAACCTAAGTGATTCTGCAGGTCCTCGATTCTGTGTTTGGGTGCCCACAGTGACGGGAGCCGTGGAAGGAGCAGGAAAGCTCTCCCGAGCCGCGGTTCGCTGCTCCCCGGCAGCAGAGCTCTCCCAAATGCTCACTCGGCGCTCCCGTCTCCGTGGCGAGCGGGGCCGTGCGGGAACGCGGCTCCCACGCCGCTCCTGTGCCAAACCACAGACAACAGAGCGGGCACCGGGCTGAGAGACCTCTCCTGTGATGAATGACATTCCCCTGGCAAGCCGCGGGGCAGCAGCACGGGCAGCCGCGCCCGGAGCTCCGGGAGAGGGGCACTCACCCGCGGGGGTGCTTGTGCAGCTCCTGCAGCACGGTGTGCTCGCAGTACTCGAACACCAGGTGCAGCCGCCGCTTCCTCCGGAACACCTCCAGCAGCCTCACCAGGTTGGGGTGCTTGAGTTGCTGCAACACACAGGGGGTGGGCTGCTCAGGAGCTGCACAGGGTGAAGGTGTGCGGCACAGGTTTGTCCTGCAGGGTCACAGTTCCTTAAGCTGAACCCTTTCTACAGGCACAGCTCAGCCTCTTATTTTGTACTTATTTCAGGAGCTGACCTCAATGGGTGGGCAACAAGCTCTGCCCAGGGTTCAGCCCTGCCCTTTTGCACTGGAGAGCCCCAATGTCTCCCTTTTCCTTGGATATTGGGAAGGAATTCCTGGCTAGGAGGGTGGGCAGGCCCTGGCACAGGTGCCCAGAGCAGCTGTGGCTGCCCCTGGATCCCTGGCAGTGCCCAAGGCCAGGCTGGGCAGGGCTGGGAGCAGCCTGGGACAGTGGGAGGTGTCCCTGCCATGGCAGGGGTGGAACTGGATGAGCTTTGGAATTCCTTCCAACCCAAACCATCCTGGGATTCTACGGTTTCAAGAGTCTGCAAACTCCCACTCCACGTCCCTTGGCTCCTGGCCACAAAAGTCCCTTGGTCTGCAAGGTGTTCACTGGGCAGAAAAATGATTTATCAGGCCCATAATTTTCTACTGATGAAACACAATCTCACTCCATCTCTGACAAACAGGAGCTGCCTAAGCAAGGAAGTGCCTCAACAGCAAGTACACAAACAGTCACTATTTGCAGAGAAAAAGCTGAAAAGAGTCAAGCAGGTCTGCACTTGTTAAAGTCAACAGTGATCCACACAGATCCTGCTGTGCCTGGCTGCAGTAGCTTTGGATCCTTAAGGATGATGCAGCTCCCAGCTGCTTTACAAGGGACTTCTGCCATGATTATTTTCCTTTTCAGATGTTTAAGATCATTTAAATCTTAACGTAAATCTAGCATTATTCACTGAAATAATATAGCTACATGTCCTGTGTTTGCTTTGGATAGGAGAAAACTTTGGCTGCTTCTTCCAAAATGTAACAGAAAAATAATTATGCTTTTTCCTAGATGATTGTTTTGCTAATCCTAGCAGGTGTGCAAATCATGAGCCCCCTGGAAAAAGTGCAAAGGTGACACTTCCCATTTCTTGGAACACAAAGCTGAGGGTACTGTGTGCCATCACCCAGCAGCAAGTTTGTAACAAAGAAAAGGAAATTTTTTTTTTTTTTCACACAACACATTCCTAAAGCCTCAGGACACTATGGAGACCGAATGAACACAGGAGCTCCAAAGAGATGGGACAGAGTCCCAAAAGCCTGCAGATGGATGAAGCAACAGGCACAGCCTTTGCTGCAGAATCCTTGCCCAGGAGCTGGGAGTGTGGAAGGAAACCTTTACCCAATCCTCTCTTTTCTCCCAGATTTCTCCTCATTTCTGCATGCTGGATAGACCTGGGGTGTGACTGCAGATGCTCCCGTGCTTTTATTTCATGGGGAAATAAAGCCAGAGGCTGAAGGAGTAGCCCATTTCTGAAGGAGTAGCCCGTTTCTGAAGGAGTAGCCCATTTCTGTGTGAGGATGAGCACTCACAGAGAGGTCAGGAGAGGATCAGCAAGGACAAGGCTCACTGGTGCCAGTTCTGCTGTCACTTCATGTGGAATACCCGACCCTGCACAGCCCCTGGCATTCAATCCTGCACAACCAGCGGCTCAGAAAGGGCGTTTGAAGGAGCTGGGGCAGATTTAGCAATTCTGGAGCAGGGAGAGCTGTGTCCCCTGGCTGTCCCCCCCTCATGCTGCCGAACCTTTTTGCCCATTTGTTTTATAGTAGCTCCAGCTATTCTGGGGAATCTCCTGGGGGTCTGTGACACACGCCAGGGCAGAGCTGTGCCCACAGCGGCCAGGACATGGCTGCTCCGAGGGGACAGAGCCGGGCTCACTGCTCTGTGCAGGGCACACCGTGGCTGCGCTGCGGCTCCTGCGCTGCTCATGGCCGTGCCTCAGCTCCCGCCTGGGCTGGCCAGCACCACCCGCCATTCCCTGGCACCGGCTTCTCCCAGAGGAACTTACTAAACTGGGCACTTCATGGCGCTCCTTCACACCCGTCTCTTTGCCTTCCCCATCACCTCACAGATGCCCTCATGCCCCGTCTCTTCACGGCTGCCCTCGCACCCCGTCCCCTCAAGACACTGTCCCCTCCTCGCCGTCCTCACACCTTGCAGCCTCACGATGTCCCTTCATGGATTCCTCACTCCCTGGCCCCTCACGACCGTCCCCGGCAGCTCCCTCAGGCTCCGTCCCGCCGCGCCCGCCCACCTTGAGCACGCGGATCTCCCTCAGGGCGATCTTCCGGATCACCGGGTCCTCCTCGGACTCCAGGAACTTCTTGATGGCCACAATCTGCCCCGTGTCCTTGTTGCGGCACTTGAAGACGACGCCGTAGGAGCCCTCCCCGACCTTGCCCAGCTTCTCGTAGCGCTCCATGGCCGGGCGGCCCCGCCGCGCTCCGCCGCCGCCTCAGCGCGGAGCCGGGGCGGGCCCCGGGCGGGGGAGCCTCCCCGGCGGGCACGGCCCCCGGAGCCGCCCCGGGGACACCGCCACGGCCGGGGCGGTCCCGGGGGAGGGAGGGACAGCGGGGATCCCCATGGCCTCTGCCGGGGACATGCACCGACTCCGCGCCTCACGGTCCCCCCGGGCTTCATGCCCCGCAGCGCCGCGTTCGTGGAGTCACAGAAGCACTCATGGACTGGGTCGGAAGGGACCTTAAAGACCACCCAGCTCCAACCATCCTGCCATAGTCACGTTGTTTTTACACCTCTCTGCCTTTCCAGACTCCGTTTTCCTGCAGGGCTGTAAGAGGAACATCTTTCCACAGGGTCTCACTTCCCTCGGGCACTGGAGGTTTCCCTGGAACATCTTCCCACTGCACGGTTCTGGTATCTCAGGTCTCTGTCTCCTGGGCTCCTGCCAGCAGCCAGACCCTTCCTTCAGTCGAGTTTTCCATCCCTGACCATCCTGTTCTCTTTCCTGGCGCACCCACCTGGGTCCCTGGATCCTCATCCCTCTCCTCATCCCCTGGCCAAGGTGGCCTTTTGTGGTGGTAATTGCTTTCAGTATTAGATCTGAATATGAGTGTGGGCACCCCACTCCATCTCATGCCTCCTCCCTCCCCAATCCCTTCCTGAGGTGCTTCCCAACTCAGAACAAAGATCCACTAATTACTTTTCTTCCCAGGCCACATTCATCAGGGATGTACAGCCCTCATATTCCAGCTGCTGAGACTGACCCCCCCAGAGTTAACCATCTCCTGCAGAGGAGGAATATTGCTGTACATTTATTTATAAATATAACTGCCAGAAACTGGCAGTTGTGTTGTCCAAAGCCACATTCATGACATTATTTTTTCAGCCTCCTTTTCCCTCTGCCTCAGGAGATCCCTGGGATACAGGTACAGCACCTGCAGCAAACAGCCGAAGTGTGAGGACAGAGTAAACTGCTCTAGATCCTGAGCCGTGTTTCCCTGCTCCGAGCAGCCCTTTGAAGCCCACCAGCCCCTGCTCTCTTCCCAGGTACAAGGCAGCCAGCCCCTGCTTTTCCACCCAAACAGCTCCTGAGTGGTTCCTGTACCTCAGCAGATCCCTGCAGATCTGGGATACAGGTACAGCCGAAGTGTGAGGACAGAGTAAACTGCTCTAGATCCTGAGCCGTGTTTCCCTGCTCCGAGCAGCCCTTTGAAGCCCACCAGCCCCTGCTCTCTTCCCAGGTACAAGGCAGCCAGCCCCTGCTTTTCCACCCAAACAGCTCCTGAGTGGTTCCTCGGTGCTCCCAGGTGACTGGGCCAGGAATAATTTGTCCCTGCTGCTGTGACTTCTCCCTCCTGTGCTGTCCCCGGGAGCTGCTGCTGGCTCCCCGCAGGCTGCAGGGCAGGGAACAGCAGCCACCAAACCTGGAGCTGGCTGGATCCTCCCCAGAGCCCTCTGACAAGGTATTGTTCCCAGCGAGTCACCAGGCACAGAGCAAATAAAGCAGTTTATTTGGCATAGACTGAACTGCAACAGAAATTCCCGTGGAACAAAGCCTGGTTACACAAACTGAACGAGTGCAGTTATGAGTCTCAGTTACACCTAACGACTAAACAAGGTAAAAAAAAAGCACATTTCAGAGTCTCCCAGTCTTGTCCTTTCCATCCAGAGACACCGTGGCTCCCCGATGAGTTGTACCTTTCTTCTTTACAGAGATGTCAGCACAATTCCAGCTGTATTTTTCACTTGCAAGCAATTTGGTTAGGAAATCCAAAGAGATTAATCCACAGACTGCTCTTCCCATGCTGTCTGTACTTCCAAGAGCTCTGGGAGCCTGTTTTAAGGCTTTCAAGTCGGGTACATGACCTCGTGCATCCAATAATTAAAATTTTGATAAATGTTGAGCGAGGAAGGAGGGGCTGAGCAAGCTTTTGTTTGATCACCCCCAAGCTCCCCGTTAGGCTTTCTCAAGCCTGGTTTGAATTCCACAAAAACAAAGGTACAGACAATACCAGACTAAATTAAACAGTCAAACACAAATTATACTGATCAGAGTCACTGAGGCTGGCTGGAACACACAGATCTGCTCTGTGGTAGGGAACAAAAGTGAGGTTTTACACTAGGAACCAGCATCTTGCAGATCATGCCAAAAATGCCACTGTCTATGAAACCAGCACTAAGCATTTCACAACATGCCATTAGAAATGCTTCAACAGCTAAAAAAGGTTTGATTAAAAGGACTTTCCTAAGTTTATTCTTTATGATCCAGCAAAACATCAGCAATTCGTGTCAAAGAAAAATACCTTCAGCTTGTTATTTCTGCATGACAGTGTCATGACCTAAGAGTTATTTACTCCAGTTATTCCCCATAAATATCCAGATTTTATTTACAGGTTTCTCTAGTCTTTTAGAGATCTCCTTTAAGTGTTTTCAAAGATGAAGCTGAAATTACCTTCTGTAGTGAATGAGGTAAATTAAGAAGTGTTTGCTCTACAATATCTACACCTGGTGCTTCACTTCACCTTCATTTTTGTTTTAAAGACCAGGAGAGGCACCATTTGAGGTTAATCACCAGTCGCTGTTACCTGTGGAGAAGTAATTTCAATACTAGAGAACTCCTTTAAAAGACAAAAATCACACGTCCTGCTTTTAATATTGCTGAGCCAATTCCAGCTGACCACCCCTGAAGCACATTTTTCATGCTCTGTGATCTATAAATTTCATCTGTACACAGTACTTTTTAAGCTTTGACAGAGTGTCAGAACTGAAGAGCTTGACTTGATTTGGATGTCAAGTCAGCAAGAATTCGTTTTGAATGACAGTGGCTATAAAATGCTGAATGTGTGCAGGGCTGTTTTCCCCTCTGGACCTTCCCTGAGCCATCACGTGAGCCCAGACAATTCCCTCCCTGTTAAATTATGGATCACGGATGCCAACACAGCACCAAAGCACTCCCAGCTCTCACACACCTTTCCTGCTCTGCTCAAATGAGCTGGGAATTCCAGCTCTCCTTCCTAGGCAGCAGATCTCAGGAGCTGAACAGGCATTTAATTAAAAACCCCTTCAATTCCAATGTTTCTGAGCACTGAAATTCTGCACCTGCCCGAGGAGTGTTCACATCAAAGCCAGCAGGGTAATGTGAGGTAGTAAAACCAGATGCTCTCCTGGAGTCAGTCTATATTTAATGGTACCTCAAGAATTTTAATTAATGAGGAAGACAAAAGGAACCGATGCGACTCTTCAATGGAGAAAGAGAAAGGAAAAAAAAAATGCAGGTGACCAAGAAGTGATCAAAGCTTGGATACAGAATACTGGTTCTTATCATGTTTATTTATACTCACAGCTGGGGCAGCAGCCATCCCCAAAGCACAGCAGCTGCAATGCTGCTCAGGCTCAGCTGTGGCTCCAGGCTCCCCGCTGCAACAGCATAAATAAACCACACGTCGTGGGCAGTTGGATACATGATACTTTCATTCATTAAGGATGATGACCTGCTACAATTTCCACTTCATGTCACAAGGCTTATCCCTAATTTATGAAAATAAAGCATATATGTTTTGTACATTTTTATATATATATGTATAAATATATATATAAAATATACACACTGCCAGGCAACTTCACACACATGCACACGCACACACACATGGATATTGTACACAGCCACCCAGGAGCAACAAGTCTGATATCAATATTCTACTTTGTGTACACACACCCTACGTCTAGGAAGTAAGAAAATCCCTTTTATGGCAATTCTGCAGGCAGAAAAATCAGTACAAAATACTTTGTTGTACAAAACTGCATTTTTTTTTACATGATCACCCAACACGGTAACACACCCCTCAGTAATGCACTACATCCCTACAAGGAAAAAGAATAATCAAATCTTTATACAATTGTAAAAAAAAAAAAAAAAGAAAGCTGCTCTGCAACCTTCCTTTGCTAAAAGTTAGACATTACCCCATCCTAGCAGCAGATTAATAAATAAGGATTAAATAGTCTATTATACAAAGCCATACCCAATGGCAGATTTAAAACCAAAAAGCTCTGCAGATACTTTCACTTCCTACACAAATCTTTGTTTTATTAAGAATAAGACTCAGTATAAAACAGGGCAACAGCCAGCACTAGATCTGTATCTACAGAATAAAAGGAAAACCCAAGGGAAGGGAAATATTTAACAGTTTATGGCACCTTTACTGCAGAACATGTTTCAAGGCTCTGTTTCCCTAGAACTAACGAGTAAAGGGCTCTTTATCTCAGCTTTTATTAAGCAAACTCGACATAACCAACCACACAGTGGCAAGAGACAGAACCAGCTGTTCCCAGCTGCAAAAATGGATTGATTCCACCCTAAACCCCAACACAGCTCGGGTGTCAGACGGGAAGCGGCCAAGTCCTGGCTCCCTGCAGCTCCTGGGTCCCAGCGTGGCCAATTCCCTCTGCTGCTTGGTGTGGGTGCTGCTCAGTAGCTGTTCTCATGTCCAGCCAGGATGTAGAGGTTGCTGTGAGCTGTGGGGTTTTCTGTGGGCCTGCTCTCCAGCACAACCACTCTGCAACCAAACACAAACGGGATCCGCAGTTAGGAGCAAAGAAACAGAACAACTCCAGAGGAGGAAACTCAGGGGGTTCTACAGATTGGACATAGAGGCTCTCCCAAATGTCTTGGGTGTTTCATTCTTTAACCAGTTCCCTCATTTTCCAGCATCACTTGTGATAAAAACACTCAAGATATAGTAGAAGGGTTGGAACTGGATGATTTTTAAGGTCCCTTCCAACCCAATCCATTCAGTAATTCCATGATCCCATCATGGAATGTTTATCCCTCCTACATCTTCTGATAAGCAACCTCAACAATTCTCCTCCCTCCTAAATATTTATCACCTCATGGGTTCACAGGGATCACTGAACCCCATCCCTGCCTTTGTCCTGCTGGATCACGTTCCTGTGGGCCCCTCTGGAAAATGATTCTGTTCCTGTCTTGGCACACTGACCATGGCTGGACCTTGACCATCAGCTGGTGTGGTTGGGCCTTTGAGCTCCCCACTCCCTCCCAAA